ACTTCTGCAGAAGTTTTTGTTGAGGGACGTTCTCTTGACTTACAGTAGCCTACAGGCTAATAATTATGGGTGAATAATAATTAGGAAACAAGTTCATACGTTTAATTTAAAAGAAACACTCTCTCCCTCCTAAAACCCCCCATAAAAAGCTCCCCTACCCCCCAAAAAGCCCGCAAATAAATAGATAAATGAATAAATATACATTGTACATTGACATGTATTTTAAAGAAATAATAATTGAAAAAATCAGGTATGTTTTGTTCTCTAGGGATCATCAACAGCAGTGTGACTTTTTAACCTTTGGTTTACAATTCCAAAGGGAAGTAATTCTGTTGTACCGCTTCTCTCAGTTTCAACATGGAGTCCGGTCTGTCCGAACTAGCTAAGCGATTGCCCGGTATCAAAGCCCCTATAGGGGGTGAGAAAGTCTACAAGGATGAGTGTGCATACTCATTTGACAATCCGGTATGACTTTGTTGTTATATGCTTTACAGAATTTATTCTTTTGTGTTAAACTTTGTTTTCAGATCACCCTGACCCCCGTTGCCACTGTTAACAATGATTCATCAATAAAATCATCATTCACATTCACTCTCATCGCCATTTGGAGGGGGTTGGCATAATTACTGTCGAGTTCTCTTGCTTTTTAAAATATTTTTTTCATAATAAAGATTTTCTTTTAAAAATCCCAATGTTATTTGCCCTATTAAATCGGAATTGGAGCTTTCCTATGAAATAAGTGGTGTAGCCTTTAGTTAGCCTTTAAATATCCTTTAACCATTTCATTGTTGTGCTGCTTAAAATTAAAACTGAAACTAGGAGTACGGTTGCCCCTTACCAGCCGCCTAACGCGCGTCTGTGGCTTGTCCCAGAAGCTTGGGATAAAAACTGACCCAGTTACCACAAATTGAAACTCATGTTGTAAAAAAGATGTTGCAAAATAATCCTTGGCCTTTGGCCGATAAGAGGCAACTGCCAGATTGGTTCTTTAGAGTTATGTTTGTACAATAAGACATATAATTTTGGAGGACCCCAGTGTTGCCCCTTACCGGCCGGTCGGTGGAGTATTTGCCTCTTACCAGCCACCTGTTTCCCCTATACCGGCCACATTATATAAACATCAATTTATACACAAAAGTAACGAACTAACCTCCATCCATTGACCTCCACGTTGTTTGTCATGCACTCAGTCACACCCGATCCATCCATCCAAGTCCCTGTCATTCCCACATTCAAAACACCGACTCTCATCATACTCAGACCTCATACGCTCAAGAACTTCCATGCATTCCTCATCTGAACTGTCCATGTACTCAATTGCATCCGAGTCACCCTGATCATTTTCTCTCTCATTCTCCACAACCTCAGTCTTCCTCTTCTTCAAGCCCTTTCCTTTTTGCTTGTTGTCAGCATTAGCCTTCCTTTTAGCTCTAGATCTAAATCTTTGTTGACATAATGAATCATAGTGTATGCTGTGTCAATATGATGACAATGATGAGCTATAATTTAGTTTGCAATGCCTAAAGTATTTGTATTTCAGACAAAACCAAAAGGTGCCTTACTGACTTGCATGTATTTGAACCTGAATAATTACTAGATCTAGATCTAATGAGACCTGTGTATTAACAGGATTGAGTCGATTGGGCCAAACCTAGATCTAAGTACGGCTAGACTGGCAGTCTAGCCGTACTTAAGTACGGCAAGCCACTTCGATTGATAAAAGCCAAGAAAAAATTACGTTACAGCACAAAAGTAAGCTAATTTGAACGTCTTCAAAGATGCTATGGCTATTTCACTGTTCGAATCGAGCCGAACTACGCGGGTCGCCATTTTGTTTTGCCCGGAAGTTCTCGCAAGATCTACTCCTCCCCTCTCTCTCTCTCTCTCTCTCTCTGTCTCTTTCTGAATACTGTCTATTGGTGTGGACGATCAAATTGACCAAAACAAAGTTAAAACACAAAAGTAAATTAATTTGGTTGTCTACAAAGATGCTACGGCTATTTAACTTTTCAAATCAAGCCGAACTACGCGGGTCGCCATTTTGTTTTGACCGGAAGTTCTCACGCTACTCCTCTCTCTCTCTCTCTCTCTCTCTCTCTCTCTCTCTCTCTCTCTCTCTCTCTCTCTCTCCACTGCCCACAGACAAAGCCCATGCTTTTAGTAGGCTACAGTTGTAATGGAAAGTTTGTTCACGGTACAGAATTCTACAATTTTTCTGTTATCTCAGTGTAGAATTCTGTGGTTTAGTAGGGTGAACGCAAAATTTGTTGGCCTAGATCTAGATCTAGGCTATAACGGTGAACGCGCACCGGGTGAGAATAGAGGTGGCCTATGTAATACCTTTATATTCCTGTGGTAGCACTCATGCCTGCCAATCCTACTTACTACTGACCAAGTTAAGCTTTAAATTTACTCTTCCTAACCTTTTTCTTGCTTCCACTTCCAGGAGAGCCCTGATGGTTTGTATGTTTGCATGAATTCCTTTCTTGGAATTGGAAAACGTCACCTACAGCAATACTATGAGAAAACTGGGAATGGGGTATTCTTGCACATCAGACGTTTAAGAAAAGAGGTGAGTTTTGCTGGTTAAGTTTCGGTGAGGGGTTAGGGGGTATGGGTGGCGGGGGGGG